GTCCAGCTGACAAGTATTTCATATTTCTGGTGTATAACTCTCAAGCTACGTTCTGCAGTAGAATTGCTTAAAAGTAAGAATGAAACAGGGATAACACATATGTCATTCATTTGCTGCACAAAGTATAACTCAAGATATTTGAAGTTAAAGCTCAGTTATATTCACTGCATTGCAACATGTCGAGAGAAAGGCAATTTTTATCCTTACCGTCCTACACCAGGGATGGCCAACACACGGCTTTTACTTTTTATGCAGCAACTACAGAAAAGTATATCATTTTTAATAAAATTCCCAGCAAGTCTGTAAATTACTTCCAGAGAACAGGCTCTAAACAATAATGATATTGCTAATATGAGCTCTAAACAATCATGCATACTGCTTTATTTCAAGCCTTTCACATTAACTATTACAGACTTTGATTTAATATTGAAGCAAATAGACATAGAAGATATGCAAATTCTAGTGATCTGTTTGCTCTAATGCGTACCAATGATGGTGATATGTTACTTAGGGTTATCATGTTTTAGGTTTGAAAATGCTAGACTGTAGGAATCTGCAGGAAACGGGAAAATGAACACTTGCCCCCTCCTCCAGAATTGAGTAAAAATATATTTTTTGCATCAATATAATATTGTATATTTCATAATCTGCTATAAAATCTTCAAAATGTGTGCGTGTGATTATGGCAAAGCCTCGAGGGCTATCTGCCTAAGAGGAGGGATGCCTTCGTGGAGGACTTTCTATGGAAAACTGGCTCCTATACACGTTACACATGGGGAAAACCACGAAAACGCCCATGCAGCCAGCCCGTTCACGGGATTCGAACTTCAGACCGAACTACTAGTGTTCAGCGACTTTATCGCTCGCTCGGCCGCTGGTGGGCCCAAAAATCTTCAAATTAAGTAGTTAAATAACAATGTGTTGATTTGATTGTTGGAACTGGAATATGGCAAAGATCATGTGGGGGAAGAAATACCTTCATGGAAGACTTTTTAATCAAAACTAGTTTGTTGGTTTGGTTTATTTTATTATGGCAAAGCACTTGATGGCCATCTGCCTAAGGGGAGGGATGCCTTTGTGGAGGACATTCTAAGGGAAACTGGCTCGTATACACATTACACATGGGGAAAAACATGGAAATGCCCATGCAGACAGCCCGTTTGAGGGACTTGAACCTCGGACCAAACTACCAGCGTTCAGTGACTTTACCGTTCGGCCGCTGGTGAGCCAAAACTAGCTTGTATTCATATTCATAAATACTTCGGGTGTTAACTGACATACTTTATCTTTTAGATGTGCAAAAAAACAGACAAAACTTCCTGGTCAGTTCTGTTTGTAATAATAAATGCACAGGGAAAGCCGTGAAGCAAAGCATCAAGTAAAAGCAGTGTGATTAATTCAATTCTGTAACCGTTCAACCTATGTGTACCATTTATACATATATAGTCTGATCCCAACTTCTGAAGAAAGTGCCTCTGGGAGTCATTCATTTTCATTAATGTGAAATCATCATTTTAAAATTCAGGATAACTTTCTAAAATTCTATTTTAAGGCTTATAAAATAAAATAGAGTTGTTATCCTCACTAGTAATTTCATTAACCCCAGGCATTTCATTAACATTTATACAATCATTTTTATGCCTTACAGCATTTGATTGTGGATTATAAGAATTTTCGGTACACTTCTGTTACTGGGACCAGATTCAGAAATGTATACATTCATATGTACACATATATATGCATACATGAACACATCCATCCAGCCATACATGCATACATTTCTGATTCTGGTTCTGATAACGGAAGAGTACCGAATTTTCAATATTCCATAAATCATTCTTTGTCAAAAGATGCAGTATCATATACAGAATCTTGAATTTTATCTAAAATTTCATCAAAAGATACTTTTCCAGCAATTTAAGTTACATAAATTAACATTAGAATGGTATAACTGCCGTTCTAATTTTGTAAGAGACAGATGCCCTATACCCTTTCTATGACTTACAATGGGTTTTTCTATATAAGCAGTACATTTTCCATTATTAAACTGGCTTACTGGGCAATAAGCATTAATTTTGTTACTCCCTTGTATTTTTAAATGTCCCATGCCTTGCACTTTAGATATAAAATAATGTCCTGAATGATGGCATACAAAATAAATATCTTTTACATGTAATGGGTCATGTTTCTTTGTAAAGTTAAAAAAATTTAGATTATGTTTCCATTTCAAAATTCTCCTTTCACAACATGAAATCATTAAACACAGAGAAATCTCTCTCTTCTTTTTCAATGACTATTTCATGTTCCATTTGCAAATGTAATGAAAAGTTTTCCTTTGGAAAACCTTCATTACATAATGTGCATTTATATAATTTTTTAATGATGAACACTCAAGGGCAGTAAATGCACTATCTGATTGTGAAAATAATAAATTTTTATTATTGTTGAACTGACGACTATATAAACTGCATTTAAATTGGAAAACTTTATTTTTACTTGCTTTGAGTAATGTTGTTTGTTGTGATATATGCAATTTCATGCAGTGACATTTTAGATTGCTGTTACTTGAGAAACATTTTTTTGGAATCAGGGCAGCTAAAACTTTTTTGAAGTTATACTGGATTTTGAAGCAAAAGTATATGAAATCGAATTACCATTGACGACTTTATAAAATGCATGATCTGAATTGGAATTAAATATTTCAGCAGTAGAAATATGCTTTTTATTGGAATGTATGTTCTTCAAATGATGCTATAAATTGCTGGCATTTGAAAAACACTTTTTGCAAATAGAACAGTTGTAAGATTTTGAAATTACAGTTTTCTGAAAGATGTTACCAATCGTAATCAAAGCGGAAATGTGAATTTCAGATCTATTGTCTTGAATGATCATTGATATCACCACCCAGCTCATTTAAATTGGTGCTATATATTCTAATATTCTGAAGCAGAATCCTCACAATATTCCTAAGTATTTGGCCGTGAGAAGGGTCTTTTATTGAGAGATTCTTCAGTTCATTATAAATATGTGAAAGCAAAATTCACATACTAACGCAGCATAAAACGCACGAAGTCAAATGCAAAATGTAAACAGACACATTTTTGACGTATCTGTTAACGTCACATGATGCGCAAACTGAGATGCGCGTAAGACGGGAGGATCAGATTCATGATCCCAAAAGTTGCCTTCTCTCCGTAGACGCTTGTTTACGTTTTAGGCGGAATTGTGGAAAATTTTGCGGAACGGAAAAGGGCCTTCACCTTCATATTTTATTTTATTTATTTATTTTTTTGCGGTATACGAGACTGGGCGCAATGCGAATAAATCTGTATGATACACAGAAACTTGCTCATATTGCTGATACAATGATCAAGAGTATTGATATGTTTAGTTCATTTCTGTTGTTAAAATAAAAAACCGCAATTGTGCATGTAATGAGTGTAAACAATAATGAAAATTTAGATATGTCTGTATTGTTGACTAAGTAGTAATAATGCCTGATTGTAAAATATATATTAGACTACTGATTGTATATGTACGATTTAAAGTAATAATTACGTAGGGTAGAACACAGCAAAAGAATCACTGAATTTTTATTTATTTGAATGACCCATAATTTTTGTTTTGTTCATAGGGATATATCTTTTTTTAGGTGATATATCTATTTTAATATATTGTGTACTTAATTGTGTGTGCATATATATACGAATAAACGGGCCTTAAAACTTGGGTTGATTTAGTAAAAAAATTAAATATAGTATAATGTGTTATTATAAACATTATAATACTATACCACACAAGCACTTTCTTATATATGTAATATAATCTTAGAGAAATACCAACTGAATCCTTCTTTGAATATCTATAATATTCTCTGACTGTGTTGTTTCATATACAATGATCAAGCAAAGACAGCGTTAAAATTTTGCTCCGAACAGCTGAGATGCGTGTCTTAAATTTTGTACTAAACAGCACAAACTTATGTCTGGAGGAAAGAAATTTATAAATTTTGTTTTGTCTACGATTTTCATTTCTCTACATCGAAAAATTATACTGGGGTGGGGGCACCACTTCACTTAACATTTGATTTCAAGTGGCATCTGATGTTTTATGTCAATAAAAATATGACAGTTCATCCTAATTTTAATCTCTTCTTTATTGTTAGCTTTTAAGAAATTTGCTTCTTATTTGCATTTTGTTCTCTTTCTGTCAGTAGATGATATTAAGGATTTGGTTTTTATTATTTAACCATACTCTCCAATTTCTTTCTGTTGCTTCTCATGTAGGCACATGTTTCTTTTTCATTCTTGCAGCAGATATTAAGATGTGTAGTGCTTCAAGTGAACTAATATTTTGTGGATTTTTGTTTGTTTGCTATTGATTTCTTTTTAAATTATAATCCTGCTTAGTGTTAAGATTTATGCGCTGTTTATGTCTGGTAATTAATAATAAAAAAAACTATGTATTTTCATCATTTTGTGTACATTTTAACCATACAATTATTTTTGTATGCGAATAAATTTGTATTTATTGACTTTTCTTTACACCCAATTATCCCTAAAGTATATATGCTATGCTGAATGCATTATTTCAGATTCAAAATGTATACACAGAGAGATGCATATCACACTATGATGATAACAAAAGTGGTAATTTAATAACATTGACATCAAATATCACCTAAGACAACCACTTCCATAGAAAATTTTTTGTAGTAGCAGCTGTCTGACTGTCTTACAGAAGTGTTTTGTGATTTAGAATTAACTCGCTGTAATACTGATGCAATTTAAGGTTACTAATATGTGCATTCAGCTGTTTTTCTTTATTAGTTCAAACAACCCATGTTATTGATCAAAAAGCAATACCTTATCGTTAGTCATATTATAAAAATTAAAAAATGGCTTTTGGAAATTTTCCTCCTTATGCAATGATTTCCAGTTTGGTAAAAAAGCTTTCATAAGTTGATCTTACTATGGGCACGTATTGAATTTTATTTAGTGTTAAAAATCATTTCTATGGTATATGTACATATTTTTACAGTTTTTAAAATACTTCAGAAATTCATTATCTCATGCCACAAGGCATGCATAAAATAAGCTTATTTCCTTGTACTATTATTAAGCTGTCCAGAAGAAGCCTTTTTTTGACAATGGATCACTGAAAGTTATGCTGTATCTTTCTGTTAATTAGAAAATAATTTTGGATAATAAAATAAATGTATTAGAAAAATATTATATTAAAATGATATTTTTAAAACACATAATTAAATTAATGTATTAGAAATCTGTAATTTAAAGCAAACCTTCGTTCTTCAACTACATATTCATTTCCGATACCCAAAGGCTAATTCCATCATAATAACTTGTATTTTAACTCGTCATTATTCAGCAAAACTTTTTGATTAAAAAATTCTGTATTCGTCCTTTGTGATAAAAGCCCAAGATACGAACCTCCACCATCTGCAAAATGCATGGCTCTCTTTGTACAGGATCTCTGTGGCTGTTACTGGAAGCCTAGAGTATGTTCAAGCAGTAGTAAATAGGCTTCCTTATTCTCTGTTTATTTAGTGTGTGATATATTTGTTTGTGTGTGTTTATTTGATAGTGTGTCTGTATAAATACTTTTGTCTGCCATTGGAAATAAAAATATATGCATTACAAATCCGAGTTATTAAGTATATTAAGGCTGTTTACATTTTTCATTCCAAAACATATATTCAATTAAAATACATTATGCAATTTGTGTTCATCTACATTTGTTAATGTTTAATTAATGCCAACAGAAACATGTTCGCATAAATTCCTCTAAGTAATTTAAACATGAGGTTGTTTAAGAAGGCCATTTTTTTATCCATTCATTTATTGAAATATTTGCATTACTTCTTATATATTAAAATTTACATATATTATGTACTTTTTTCAGTAGACAATCCAAGAATATTCTATATGTTAAAATGTATGGTATATGCAATAATTCCCCCCCCCAAAAAAAAGAAAAAAAAAAAACTTATCCTCTATTTGTGATCTTATTATCTGATTGTGTCTTCTTCAAAATACACAAATAATCTGATGGAATGAAAATATTTTGGTCATTAAAACTTTTTAATCACTGCTCTTTACATCTACATTTCTTTTTTCACATAATCTGAAGTTTTCGAGTAGTCTGAAGGTTTTCAAACTGTGTTTCACAGAAATTTTAGATACCATGCAACTCCTCTAGGGCATCTGTAAGTCAAAATTTAAAACAATTTTTTTTTAATATCACTGGACATCAAAATGAAATACTTGAAATAATCTTTGAAATTCTCTTATTATTGTTAAAAAATATTAAGCAGATTTTTGTTTATGATTAAATTTATAATGAAATAATGAATTTCTTTTTACTTTCTGCATAAAATGCACAAATTTTATATTTCAATTCTTTAACATTTATTTTTCTGAGGATAGAAATTCTTCTATAGAAAAAATTACGATTTTAGAAGTTTTTCTGAATTTAAAGATTTGAAGACAACCCTGTTATAAGGGTTTACGATTATAATGTGAATGACCCAAATAATTGTAAATGGCCTATGGCCATACTTAATACACATATTATTTAAATTGACATGCTTTACCTGTAATGTACATTTGTGACTTATGTTATAATTTAAGTGCACCAGTTTACTCACACTTATCTGTATTGTATGTATGTATTATATGCATCTCTAGACTCAGGTTAAAGCTAGCTCGTTTCCCCTTTCTCAGCTTTCCCAGATGACATTTTTGGGTCTTTACTGGAACTCGACGCACACTTTATTTCGGCTAGAATAACCACTTATCTCACTCTTCTTTTATTCAAAAATTATAACATACTAATTTGGGGAAAAAATTATATTTTATGTTAGTTACTCATGACAACATTCGAAACAACCTACATGTTCGACAAGGGGTAGGGGTCTAGGAAAGCCACAACTTTTTCAATGAACTGGATGAATAAATGCAGCCCTGCCTTTTGTTGTGTTTTATGCATTTATAAATTTCTACCTGACTGTTTATTCTTTAATTCTATATAACACAATTAATCGATGCTTGTTTCTTGTATGGAATTTTAACATTAATTCTACATAATAACATGAGTAATCTTTTTTTTTTTAAATTGTATTTTAGCATTATTAAAAAACACTTTGGCACTATGAACTGAGAATATCTGTCAATCTGTCTTCTACGTTAATTTACAATAATATAAATGTGAATATCTGAATGGAGTTATATTGAAAGATCTACTGGATGCTATGATTCCATGATGGTCAATCCACCACATTGGAAATATTAAATCAAACAATAAGTACAGGAAAAGATTCAGCAAGACAATATATCCTCTTTTGAATGAATACATTTAACTGTAGTTATTCCATATGATGTATTATACAACACCCCAAAATCATGGAAAATAACTTTCTAAACCGAGTTTACAGTGTAAAAAAAGTAGTGGAAAAATGTTGTAGTCATGTAACTGGGCTATCTAACATAAAAATTACAGCATATTACACCAGTGTTCTTACCTTTACTGCATATTACAACCAAATAACTACAATTAGATATGAGAAAGAACAGGCAGTGTCAGTACAACCAAGAGTAAAACTTTTACAGAGTTGCTAATTTGAAAACAAGTGAACCTGTAAAACTAACCCTGCATACTGGTTTGCTTTAGATGCATTTGGTAACCAATATGCCGTAAGTCTTTACCAGATTCAGTTTTGAGTGCATTAAATACTATATTGCTCATATGTCTTGATCGTGACAATCAATGCAGCTGCAGCATTATTGAATAGAAATAAGTTATATGACTCTCAAATAAGTGTTTGTAAAGTTGTTCAGGAAATAAATATTACTAAATAATAACATGTATTATGTTTATTGAATTGTACAAAACTTATATGTTATACTTTGAATTATCGTCAATTTTAATTGTCTGAAATCTGGTATTTGATAGTATATAGTTGTAGCAGTTTTTTTCACTATAAATTCTGAAGAATCCGAAAATAAATGCACATACTAAAGTATTTCAAGTATGATAATATTCAGTATTTAAGATTATCCTAAAAGTATGAAATTTATTATTTTATTTGAAAATAAGTATTAGTGTATCCATGGCATGCAGGTCCCCGAGATTACTCTATTATCCACTCATAGGTGGGGGTGTCACCTTTGCCAAAGGCTCTTTGTAGCCTGCTTTAGGTTTTATACTAATTTTAATTACTGGCCATCTACTGAAATGGTTTCTTTATGTATATCCACCTTTATTCCAACTCTGGTATTTCTACGGCGATGGAGGTTTAGTTGACCATACTTCTTGACAATTCTTTTACTTTTTTTTAGTTTATTTATTTATTTTTTTTTTTCAATTTGAAGCGGTAGACCAGTATTTTCATCTCGCATAACTGTTTTTGAAGCACTCGAAAATCTCCTTCAAAGAGTTGGCTACATTGTGTAAATTTTCGCTATCTAAATTCCAAAGGAGTGACCGAATTGATCTGTAATTTGCATCGCACTCATTGATCAAATTTCTTTTTTTACTCAACGTTGCTTCTTCAGATATGGTGGGTAAATTATCTGATGTTCCACCTGAAGGAGTTTCAGTTGATGAATATTTTCGTTTTCTGGTGCCTGAAATACTTCTTGAGACTAAATCTTCATCAACTTTGAAAATAGGTGTTGAAAATAGCCATTCTGCAGTACATTCCAAACTCCAGGCTGGAAACTTCATGCCAGCAAAACACAATATGCTTGCACAGCAGTCGGTTTCTTCTGAAATCTAAGCATGTGCATTGACACAGTTGTTTCTGTTCATCAAACGTGACAGAATAAACTGCATCATGCTTAGTTTCAGAAGAAACTTTAAAGAAGCCATGTGAAAATTTTTTTTATACTACCCACATAAACTTCAGCAGCTCTTAATTTTGTTTTTATGTGATCAATTAACCATTTTGGCTTATTGATTAAATAATTTGGTACATGTTCATTGTATAATCTGGCCTGCGAAAGCATACTCAGATTTTTTCTGACGTAAATTCTATATCTTTCTGGCAGAAATTTCTCAACCAAGATCTTAATTATTTCAGACAGCATACAGTTTTTATATCCCTGAAGATATCTATATTTTAGTTCCTCATTTAAGCGTTCAACACCATTGTTCGAGTTTATGAATAAGTCATTTGGTTTGTAAGCCAAAGCCCATCTCTCAATTTCCTTGAACCATGTTAATTCAAAATAATCTTTCACAGCTTCATATTGGTTCCATGATTTTAATACCTCTATTGCTGCAACCATTTCATCTTGAGTTGGAGCATTTGCTATGGCACGTAATTTACACAAAAGCTCTTCTTTGGGAACCACTGCATTCTTTTTCTTAGAAGCCCATCTTGACCATGCCTGCTCTCGATGGAAACTACATATAAAAACCTTAATTCCTGTAAAGACATTTTTCCAAACTTGTAATTTCTTTTCTTCCATTGCAAAATCAACCATCCCATATTTTGGTCTAACGAGAGGCGACCAATTTTTAATAATTATAAGAGCTTCTTCTAATGCTTTGGCTGTTTCATTTTGTGTAATTATTATGCTCACTATTTGATAGTTCACATTTGTTTTGACAACTAAAAAATAAAGTGGGAGAGCATACTTACAGGTTCGATAGGTCGCGTCGAGAAGAACAAGATTAGAACCATATAAGACATATAAATTTTTCATTTCTTCACTTTGATATACAAATAGCAGATTTAGTTTTGAATCTGTAAAGTCATTTGGCTCAGTACCATCATATGTATTTTCAGTACATGGTCTAAAAAAAAACAGAACACTTGGAAGTATCCCAGCTATTTATTAACATTTCTGTATTTTCCTGGTCAATTTTACTAGTTCTAATATCGGATTTTGCTTGGCTTATTATTTTCCTTATTGCCTCCATTTCTGGATAAAATCGTCTGCGCGTTTTATCAGTTTCTCCCAATTCAGTTGAAACGTATACTTCTAATAGCTCTGCAATTACAGTGGCATTGCATTTTCCATTCTTAACTTTAGAAGCTATGAAATGCCGCACTCTAGCATCTATAGGTTCTATTCTATTACTGCAGCCATGTTACCCATTAGATGATTTTGATGATCTTGGCTATTAGGTAAATTAAACATGAAAACTTCTTCACCAGCACCAGCAATACTATCTTTATTGGCTAGTTTTTCCTTAATTTTCCGAGATATCATAATCTTTCTTTTTCGGGTTGGCACTACCTGTAACATATTTATCACAGTAAAATTTAGAAATTCCAGCACAGTCATCTAAAACTAATTATTGATAAAGGTTCAATTTTAAAAACTTTCTGTTCATAGCAAATTATTAAAAAAAAAAAAAAAAAAAAAAAAAAAGAGGAGTCATTTCGTCATTTCTTTCCTTTAAAAAAAGCTGTAAAAAGGATCTTCCATTTTTATAACAATAGATCAAATTACTTCTTCAAAGAAACATAACCAATAAAACTTCACTTTGAACAACTTATTTCTATTTGTAGCAAATTGGTTAGAATATAATTAGCATAAAAAGCCTTTATTTCTGGCCTGAAAACATCATTTTATTTGCATGTCAATTACTGAATTATTTATTTAGGAAAATATTACTGTTAAAAACCTCTCTTTGGCAAAAAAAAAAAAAAAAAAAAAAAAAAAAAACTATTTAGAAAAATATGTTGAATAAAGAGACACAAAAAATCATTTCTCTTTTTTACATTGTGACTCTAAAAATACCTTTTGTTTTTATGTCAAAAAGTATGTATACTTTATCATAGAATACCTTCAATACATCTTGCTCATACGTGACAGAATTATATTTTTTCCTTAAAAAAAAATTCTCTAAAATTACTAAGACCATCTTAGAACAAAAAGTTAAATAAACTTCTACCTTGAACTGAGGCATCCTGTACATTCGGGTAACATTAATTACAGCTGGACAATTAACTTTTTTAGTTGTCTGGTTCTTGGAATATGCTTTACCAAAAGCATGATCAGTTTGACACTAAAAAAAAAAAAAAAAAAAAAAAAAAAAAAAAAACACACACACATATATATATATAATCCAAGAGGTGATATTTTTGTATAAATTTTTAAATATAACAATGTTATTTTACCTTTTCATTTTTTTCTTTAGCATAATTTTCCTTTTGACGTTTATTCAGATCTTTTCCTTGATGGCAAACATAGGTTTTTCGCCCAAAGTGGAAATAGGGAATATCATCTAACCAGTTTAATCGTAAATCTGGAGTTAGTTCAACTGGAAAGAAAATTTTGATTTAGATCACAATCTGATAAGCTTTGATTTTTAAAAGAAAGAAATTACAGATCTCTATAAACATATTATACATTTAACTGTCTCTATATATACTACATACTGTAGACACTGCTTAATGTATTGCAGCTGATGTCGTGTATATTGCTATTGAATTTCTAAGTTCTGCTCTTTCATATATGGAAACATAAAAAATGCATCATTTGCTGTAATTTTATTTGCTCAATTTGGTTAATATAATCAAAATATTATACAATAAATTTCTTAAACTGAAGAACGAAAATGATTTTAATCAAGCATTTAGAAAAAAGCGCAAAACAATAAAATAAAAAAAAAAAAAACTTAATTTCATACGAATTTTCAATAGCTATTGATTTGGAAGGGCTTCAGCACAGTTCCCTCTTCTTCAAAAGGGAGGTAAAAATTCCTGAAAACATCTTTGCCAAAATACACTTGCGTTTTTGCCCAATTTCAGATTTTACATTGGCAAAATCTCTTTAAACAAGGATGCCCTCCAAGTATTAAGATTATAGGTATAGAATTGGTCCAATAAATTTCAGAAACATTATGGACTACTCAAATGAACTTTTGCAATGAAGACTGTAAACAATTGATAAACAAACTTTTATTTTTCCTAATTAAAATGTTAAGAAAGTGGCTAGTTATATTTATAGTTAATTCAATTCCTATTTTAAAAGATACTTTTCTCATCATCTTATATTATCAAAAATGGGCAAATGTAATCACATTAAGCAGCACCTACTGCAAACATAGAGAGATATTAAAAGCATTAAATTATGTAAAAAATTATGTATTATGTAAAAATATTATGTCATTTTGTCTCATATTAAAATTATATATGCTAGGTAAAGTATAGAATGAGCTAGCTGCCTTACGCAAAAAGGATGCCTTTGAGAAGGTCTAATGGGAAACTGTCTTGTATTCACTTATATATAAGGAGAACAGGAAAATTCCCATGCAGCTAATCCATTCAACAGTATTTGTACCTTGATCAAACATCCAGTATTCAGCTATCTTATCTGCTAGTCCATTGGTGCTAAGAGTCAAAATAGACAGTAATGTGATTTTACACACAAGATAAGTAGCATTCATTGACTAAAGAAATATATATATCACATCACTAAAGAAATATATATACATTTCAGAAAACTTTCCTGTTTTCTAAAATTCAATATCTTTATTATTATAACTTCCTGATATTTCAATGCATTATAATTTTATGGTGAACTATTACCTGAAAATAAAACAGAGAATATTTTTGAATTGGTAGTGTTTATTATAAGGTTATTTTGAAACATGTTGTTAATGATAAAACTAAAGAATGGATTTTCTTTATAGACTATTAAATGATTATATTTCAAATCAACAGACTGCATTCATACACTAAAATAGGATGAAAAATATAGTAGTCATCGAGACAATTGTCGAGTTTCTCAAGAAACAACAATAAAAATTTTCAAATCTAACACGGTATATCTTGTTTAATGTTTAATATAGTACGGAATGTTTCGTGAAGCATCAGCTATTTAAAAAAAAAAAAAAAAAAAAAAACATGCAATACCTGACAATGAAACCAAATAAAAATCAAACATAACGCTATTACACGTTATGCAACAAAATTAATGAATATGAACGTCTATAAACCCTTTTTTCAACTTGGACCGAATCTCGCAACATCAACTAGATCTTACGCAATAAAATTAATACAAATTAGTGCTGATAAGTTCTTTGGAACAAAATGGCCAAATATCAACTAAACAACCAAAGAAAGCATTTACATTCTAGAGGATTTTTATTTACTCATTACATCTTCAAAAATTACTTACTCTCTTTATCGAATGACTTTCCATAGTAGTAAACATATTTTGTTACAGTTTCTACTTCGTGTCTGCGAAGTATTTCTTTAAATTCGCTCCAAGATTTCGCAAAATTCATTTTGCCTCTAAACACAAAGGTTCATACACGAGACGGACTTTGAAACTCGTAATCGATAAACCGGCCATTCCCCTATCGTTGACACAAGTCTTTCTATCGATGGGAAAAGGAGACTCTAGGCCATCCGAAAA